CATTAAAGTGTTTCTGTATTCGTTGAATTACAATTAGCTCTTTTAAAATGTCCTTTTCTATATAATAGCGATAACATTTTGTAACTATTATGCCGTGATACATATATAACAATCAGATAACTGAAACACACGCAACCATTTAATTGCAACGTTTGCTCGTAATTGATTCCATGCAATCTTCATCATTTTTGTTACTATTAATAGTATTATTGATAAAACTACATAGTTATGACAACCTTACCGATTTAAATGACCATTACACATATATTATCAAGAATACGCGAAAAAAATAGACAAATTTAAGTTTCGATATAAGACAATGATCAAGCTAAAAAATACGCGACGCATAAAACAAGGTCAAGCCACTTCCGATATATGTAATTTTATAATATTCGTTGCAATAAAATAATTGATCGCGCATTTAAACTCTAATTCCCGTTTTACTTTCAACGGCGAGATAGACAAGCTTAAAAAAATCACGAGCAAAACCGTGTTATCACTGCGTTCAATGGAGGCTGACTGGCCCAATGATTTCACCAGATCAAGATCCCTCCTATCCGCCAAGTGGCATGCCAGGTAGTATCCGACATAGAGAAGAACGATTCACATAGTGGAGAGCGAGCTGTGCTCTGCTTCTGTCGTATTTCATAGGATCAATCTGCGAAAGAAAGTTAAGTGACCCGTTGAACACCAAAGACCTCGCTGCAGGAGGAAACGAATCTCGGATCTTCCGGACTGCTGCGATAGCAGCCATTTCGGCAGCCAGTTAACGGCAAACTTTTACCTCTTTCCAAATATAGTATTATGCAATTCCCGAATGTTTTCACGATTTAATTGGTATTTATTATAACTTCTTACAAAATCAAGATACGCGTGCGAAAATATATTCTTCCGTTATTAAAAAAAATACATATATATTTTATTACAAAAATTATGGATAGAACAATTCCTCTCGAAGAGTGGTTACAAATAATTTCATTGTAGTTTACTATTATATGTGCGAGTACGAAAGTTTTCGAGTACCGACTGTTCGAGATGAATCAAACCGATAACAGTGAGATTTCAATTAATTTCGTAGTTAAATATTTAATGGCATAAAACTCATGTAATTTTTAATTTTTCTGTGATATTTAATCAATTATAATAAGTAATTAAGTAGAATTATCTAAATATTAAATGCAACATTTAGATAATTAGAACTGTCAAAATCTTACAGATATCAGGGTACCCAATCGATTTGTCTCGAATTTATTAAGTACTCGCACATTTTTATTTATGTTTATCACAATATTATAGTAATTTGTTTCAATAAGTATATACCTCTTTTTCATAAAGTTTTAACAACTGAACAAGTTATATAAAAATTTCTTACGTAACATGTCATACATTGCATATGTATCTTATTACATTAGAAAGTAATTAAATAACCTAAAAATATATTAAATAACCTGAGAAATTAAAAAATTAATTAAAGTTCTGGAATGGCAAAATGTCCAGTGCCTGAAAAAGTTTCTTAAAAGAAACTAAAGATTAAATAAAAATATATATCCATTTGTAACTACTTCTTTTTTAAAGGAGTTATATGAAACGACCCTTTGGTCGTTTCGAGTTTCGACCAAAGTTAAGTTTTTAAGAAGGTTCGATGGCTTCATCGGAGGGAGTAGTGGGACGCGGCGGTTCTGGAAACAGCGCACTAGCGTTTGAAGTAGTGGGAATGAAGGGGATCGCTCTGATTGGTCGCCGCGTGTATAATGCGTGCTGCTGTTCACGTCGTTCACGACCATGACAGTCTATGCAGACGAAAAATCAAGCAATTTATGCTTTAATAATTAATTTTTCTACGAAATGTCCTAAAATTGTACTTTTTAGGTTTTCGGAGTAGATTTTTTTCAAAACGGGACGGTGAAAAATTCCCAAAAAATTCACATAATTCTATTTTGCATTGCAGAACAACATATTAAAATTTCATGAAATTCTCTGCATTTTGTTGTAGCCATCGAACCACCTTAATTTCTTTAGTATAATTCAAATTTGTCTATAAACAGTAACTATCCATGTTCAATCTGCTAAGTTTTTTTTAGCATTAAAGTAACATTAATATTAATTAACGGGAGAATATTTAATAAGGAAAATAAAGTCTTTTCTCTCAGAATATGCTGTTTAATCGATTTCGTGATTTTACTTTAAAAATTACGTAGTTGTCATCGTTATGCCGAAACCACTGCTTCTGGAAACCGCCAAGAAAACTTGAAATTAATTTCGGCCCTGCAACAAAAACCCTTAGATTCAACGAGACACCAAACTAGGCGCCGAAGATGGGTTCTATAGAAACTGATGAGAAATAACTCTCTACGACAAAAATCGTTACGACTCTCCATCAGTATAAAACCACGCATTTGCGTCCATCTGACGCGAGAAACAGCGATAAGGCCTTATCACCGAGGCAGCGATCGCGTCTATGAACATGACAATAACACGGTATTTGTATTAACTTTTAACGATTTAATGTATTTAACGCCGAACGTAATTTAAGAAGATTTCTTTAACAAATTGTTTAATATTATGCGAAATTCGCGAAAATGTTTTATCGAGAACGAGATAAAATAAACGTTTCAAATTATAATTTTTTATAACGGGCAACAATCTGAAATCCGAAATTTCGCAAAAATATGTTAATTTTATTTGTTATTTGACTATTTCATAATATGTAAGACGCGGATGTTGACTTTCATGAACAAAAATATTATAGGTAAATGATCATTGTCTAGCATCGAACCTTTTCACACTTTTATTAAATAAATTATACTACTTATCATAATAGTAATAATTTCCAATACGAAATTTTGAATAAAATATCTCCCGAATTTATTAACAATTTTTTAGTAAATAAAAATTACTTTAGTAAATAAAAGCTTTCAAGTAAATGTTTATCAAACGCGATTCTCGCCTTATTATACGCATCTGCTTACATTTATACATTAAATATTACATTATTTCTATAATTCTTTATATATACAATATAGGTATATACATAATGTACCTATACCGTGCCAAACATTTCAGAACAGCCAATTATCTAAAACAGTATTGGTTTATTGGAAAAAAGTTTCAGATAAAAGTTGGAGAGTTTAAAGGCGACTAATAGATGATCTTATTAGATTTTGGACCCGAAGCCTGTGTTTAACTCACAATCAGTAAAGTCCAAGTTAAATTATTTTAATGGAATTTTTTATTGTATTATCTTTTTCATTGTATTATCTTTTTCTGCTAATTAATTTGAACAACTTTTGTCTGAAACTTTTTTTATTTCTCTAATACTTTTTAAGATATATAAGCTTATATAGAGAGCAAACCATCAGCGTCCATTGCTGTTAATAATGATGACATAATACAGCTGTTCAACGCTTATAAAAATTTGATTAAAATAGCTGATGCCAATAATAAAGACATTGATGGAAGAACACCGTTACACTACACTGTTAGCAATGGACAGGCAAGTGTTGTGAACACATTATGTGTCTTACTAAAAAACGGAGCTTGTGTTAATCAAGTTACTAATAAAGGTGATATACTATTACACACTGCTACTTCTAAAGGTTTTAAAAAAATTGTTGAAGTTTTATTACAACATGTAAGAGTCATGATAAATTAAACAATTTTTTCAATACTAAAACCGCTGCTAGTGGCACTACATCGCTTCACGTTGCAGCCAAAAATGATTTTTTGGATATTACCAATTTATAACATTAAAAATAATGAAGATAAAACACCTCTTGATCTTTCTGATGACCAAAACGTTAATGAATTACTGAAACTAGTTGAAGAAATGTTTAGAGATGCAAAAAATGGTAATGTTGAAATAATCAGCAAATTAAAAGCGATAAAACCGGATGAGTATATAGTTGTAACAAATGCTCATAATAATCAAGGAAATACGTTATTGCAAGTTGCTATAGCTAATGAACACAACAATGTTGCGAGTAAGTTGTCAGAAATGCTAAAAAAGTGAGATGAAAATTAGCAACTTGTCAATATAAAAAAGAGAATTAAAAGCTTAAAACTTTAAGGATGTTTTATATATTTGTCACCATGCCAGGGTACTGTCGGCTAATCACCGGCCCGTACATCTGAATTTAAAGCGATTACTGAAACCTTATAAGAGATTTTATGTTCCACTTGGGATTTAAAGGAACTAATCATTATCACCATGTACATACAAACAAGTGCCAAATATAATGTTTGATAGTTACAATGGTTGAAATTTTTTCAATACAGTACGAAAATGTAAAAATCCTATAAAAATTGTTACATGCTAAGGAGAAATATAATACTTATTTAAATGTAGATGTATAATGTAGATGTATAATGTCTAAAATTGTTTCAGGAAAATAACAATGTGACTAATTTAACATGCATGCAATATCACAAGAGAGCAGATTCTGTCATATTTCTGAAACACCTAAATCATTTGCAATTACAAATATAAATTGCATAATTAGCAAGTGCAATTACTGATCGTTTAGTAAAAATAATCTACATGTCATTGGGTTAAATTTTTTACAACAGCAACACAGAGTCCCGCACGGCCAGTCTTAAGAGGAGCAACCTATAAACATAAAAAAGGTTTAAGTTTACAAAATATATTTACAATTATTTCTATTTACCCTATTCAATTACAGGAATAGTTTATACACTCACAGGTTCCCATTCGTTGAGATGTGGATCGTAGGCTTCCACTAGTGTGAGACATTGTTGGCCGTCGTATCCTCCCACGGCCATAAGTCGGTCACCTAATACGCACACACCAACTTCACTCCGGGGCACACTCATTGGCGCAACCATAGTCCACGTATCGGTTTTAGGATCATATCTATATTGTTACATCGCATTATATATAACTTGAAAGTTTTAACATATAATGTAACAGCAGCTTTATACCTTTCTACACAGTCGAATCTGCTAAAATTGGGATTGCTAGCTGAACTGTCGTTACCACCGAGTGCATAAAGACAACCATTCACTACTCCTACGCCTACACCGTCTCGTCTCTTCGACATAGGTGCGCACGGTGTCCATTTGTTCGTGTGCGGATCGTAACATTCTACTGTATTTAAGCAGGAACTGATATTTCTTCCTCCTACAGCGTACAATCTAAAACATCATAAAAAATTTAATATCAAATTTTATTTAAAAAAAATTAATATTTAATCAGATTTAAAGTTAATAAAATAATATTTATACGAAGGCACGTACTAAAAAGGAAATTAAAATGAT